AGCGTAAGTACACTTCGCTGAACACCCTGGCGTCCATATGATCACAAACGTGCAAGGCTACCCGTAAAGAACACTTACGCTCTTATTTCGCGAAGTGACGTTCCACGAATCGGGAGCGCAATTTTAAGCCCGGTTATTAGCTGAATTCTTCAGGGCTGAATAGCGCCGTGCTTGAGAAAAACGACGAATATTCAGTCGGAGGTTGCCGAATCTCTTTTTAATCACTGAGAAAAAATGTTTCACGATCCCGCGCACTAACAATCTAAGTGAATCGTGTGGGGTAAAAGTAACGTTTGGAATTATATTTTTTTACCAAATTAAGGTTATTGAGCAAATTTTTGAACAGAAAATCAGAAAAAAATCGCCTAATAATGACTGATAAATGTCGGGTGAGCACTATCTTAGGCGCGTTTTTCAAATGATGGACATCTTTATGCTAAAAAGAACTATGTACATAGGATTTGCGTGGAACTTGGTTCCTTTTAACATAAATACGTCTAAATTAGGTTAGGATCACTTTCAAAAAGGCTCAACTCTTTGATCATCAGTAGTGGCGTGGCGTGCATTGCAGTATATCGATTGATCTACCATTTAAAGCTATAGAAAATGATCGATAGATAGGGCGCTCGCAACGAACACCTAAAAATCGATTCTTTACCATGGATTTAAATGGGGAAATATCGATAATTGGCTATTCACGCCTTGTCACTGAGCGTTGACTCTCGAGAGTAACTTTTAAATTGAGGGGAAGAAAGCAGTGCGGGGTTTTTTAAATATATATTGTGTCTGTTTGATCATCTATACGATTCGAGCAATTTTCTTTTTTAGCAGTTTAAATAATTATTTTTGCAGGAATGAATCTATTGTATCCAAAAATGTAAGGTGAGATAGTTCGTAACTCTCTCTGAAACTAGATATTTTATCGGTAGAAATGTGGCAACACTGAGGTGTTCATTCGTGGTTTTTTCCTTAGCGTCGTTCCCTCGACGTGACATTCCAAAAGCAAGCGAGAGCGCAACCCCCATTTGAATTTATCGCCGAATTCCACCCCGAGTGATATAAATATTTGCTTGGTCGTGTTCGATTACTCATAAAATTAAACTGATTATGCTAACCATGGAAAGGGAGAAAAATCTCAAGGATTCGTCCCCCAGCCTTTGAACCTTTTGATTTCCCCCTCACCCGACCCTTTTTTATCTTTAATAAATGTCAAAACGCTGCGACCTTTTATCTGCTTTCCTGGACCCTCTTTAGCCTGCGAGTTGTGTATTGCCAGACGAAAAGATAGCCGATTATTTTTGTCACATATTGTATAGTTCCTCACTTTATATATCATAATAACCAATGTTTATGTATATTTTAAAGGAAAATTGTAATTTCTGTACAGAAGATCAATTAACCAATAAAATTCAAAAAAAAATGTTAGTTTTCATAATATACTAAATTGTGATTCCAAAATGTTGTGGTAGCATACTCTGGGAGGGTATTCCATCAAATGATGCATGTTCAGCAGCAAATACCGAGTATAGATGGTAAATTTAAGAAGGAAGAAAGACCTTTTGTGAGATAATTCTCTACTTGAAAGAAATTTTAGATGACTCCTAACGCTAAAACTATAATTATGATAAAAAAAAGTAATTAAATTTGAATCAGTAAGAACGAAAACGCACCAACTTAAAAAAATTAAAATAATCAAAACACGCAAAACTGCACAGTAAGTGAAGGAGTTAGTCACAGGCAAAGATTTTTGGTACCGAAACACAAGTAGTGAAGGACTTTTCAAACGTCCAAGTTGGAGCAGATGCGCTAACATTGATGACTTTCATGAAAAGTGACCGTCTTTAATGGAACTTAAGCGATTTTGAGATACGAAATTGGTGTGTTTTCGTTCTTACGGATTCAATTATTCTCTCTGGTAAGAACTTTTCAAAAAATCTGCGAAGAAAACTGCAAATTTTGAAAAAAGCGTTGAAGGATGTTTGAATATACTCGAGAATTTCCAAGCATCGCGTCACGTTGTTGGTTACTTGCACACAAGACCAGACCAGGAAACGTTTTAAAATTACTTTAAAAGTTTGTATCGAGCGAGCGAAAATTGCGAATCAAAAGGCAAAACAATTTGCGATATTCACTTATTAAGACGGATTTTTGGAAATATCTCAAAAAGTTCTTCGGTCTAATTTTAAATAACTACCTGAAGCCTTACAGCGTGATGTGATGCCTGGAGATTGTCTAGAGACAGGACGACAAAATTCCATGAAAAATAAAATCTTGAAATTTCATGTGAAATATTTCACGAAATTTCAGAAATTTATGAAAGATATTGAGAAATACCGGTTTCTTTTCATGCTTCGCAAAATTTAAATATTGTGACTTTCTTCTATGTTTGTGTGTTTGAGTGCGGGTTGCATACTCTAGCCCCTGAAAAACATGAAATATTGCACAGCCTCGTGAAATTTCATGAAATATTTCACTGAAATTTCCAATCTTTCATTTCTTCCTTACGTTTTATGCCGCCCTGTCTAGACCCTTTTCCGTAGCCGCTCGCGTGAAAAATTAAAAGCTCTCCTAAAAGAACGAGTCAGCGCATTCAAGCTCTTCATTTCATCGATTAAAAGTAAATATCGAGTACATCAAAATTTGATGGTCACCGCGGGGCTTTACCTGCGGAATTGAAAAAAAAAAAAATAAATAAACTGCTGACATCAAAAATTTAGTCTCGTGAGTTTACCTTGATGAGAGCAAAGCTTTTCCCGTCGAGTAAAAGGTACCTCGTCAATACCCAGTCAGCGCTGTGCAATCTCGACAAAAAATCTACTCGTTTGCGCTACTCATACAATATTTGCCGACTCCAATCGCAAATACAAACCCGGCGATTCGCATATTCGTAACACGCACGATTTTCAACCGTCAGCGTTTTAATTTTGTAATCGATTCTACGAGTTTTAATTCTGGACGATCCTTTTTGCCTTTTTTCGCGGTTTTTTTTTAATAAAACATGCTAGAAGGAACAGAGATGATATTGAGGAAATAATCGATACTCAATGACTTCACATGCTTTACCTTTACACATATCGACGGTGCAAGTCGGCAATCACATAACTCGTTTGCGGTGTCTGAAAATCTCCACCTCTATGTTATTTTTTAAAGGAGAACAAATTGACATCATTCCTTGAAGTTTTTGCAGAATTTTCTTCACACAGAGAAGAAAAATCACCGCAGTTTTAAAGAATTGCCGTCGAGTAGTTTTCAGTTTAAAATATAAATTATAACAGGAAGTCTGCGACGTCGCAAACCGGGTTATGTGATTGCCGACTTTCACCGTCGATATGGCATTGGACATCCTTAGTAATTTTTTTTCGTAATGCTAAAAATGTGGTTTTCCATCTTAAGGCGCATTTTGCCGTGCTGCAGCATATCGAAATGTAACTGTTGAAATTCACTCGTTTTTTAGCTAGGCTAGGCTGGGAAAACGGTTTGTGCGATAAAGAGCCCAGTCCTCTGCATTGGCGGATCCGGAAAGTGACAGTGTTGATTAATTTCCATTTAAACCTATAAAAATGTATCGATTCTTAGAAAAGACGGATGAAAGAATCGATTTAATCGATGCATAACCGATCGTGCATCTTTGATCGAGCAGCATCGATCGTGCATCAATTTTATCTTCGAATAATCGATTCCATTACTTAACATTAATTGCAATTCAACGGTGTAAGTCGGCAAACGCAGAACTCGTTTGCGGTGTTTGAAAATCTCCGCCTCTATGTGATTTTTCTAAAATAGAACAAATCGAAATCATTCCTTGAAGTTTTTGCAGAATTTTATTCGCACAGAGAAGAAAAATCTTCCCGGGAAGTAGCTTCCCGTTTAAAAAATGAAGTGTGACAGGAAGTCTGCAACATCGCAAACCGAGTTATGTGATTACCGACTTACACCGTCGAATTGAGACAAGTCAGTATTGTTAATCAACTGGATCCATCTCTGGTTCTCTGAACCGTTGAACCAAATTTTTTATCTCGTAATCATGACTTTCTTGTCTCTGTGTATTCTTCTTGCACAGTATGACTCATGGCCTGGATGAATTCCATCGTGCTAAGGAAAAACGCATTATGAGCCTTCGGATGTTGCCAAATTTATTTTGGTAAAATATCAACTATCTGGAAAACGAGTTAAGATTTGTGTTATGGTGGAGGATTTTGTTTCGCGATTGGACCTATATTATCTGAAAATTTCAAGGAAAAATATTCATAATCTTCCTCAAAAATAAATATTTTGTCGCGTTAGATCTGGCAATATTCAAATGTTCATACGGCGGTCTTCCTTCGCACTGCAGAATTGGACGTATTTCTCCCGAACGGAACTCAGTGGCGTGGCGTGCATTGGGATGTATCGATTGTGTCGCCATTTAGCCCTATGGTAAAGCATCGATTATTAAGGTGTTCGCTGCGAACACCCTTTCTATCGATCCTTTTCCGAACTATGTGTAGTATGACGTAAGCACTGTTATGCATACATTCAGATGAGTCTCAGGACTCATGTCTGAATGCACATAGTTCCGTTCGGCAGAAATATGCCCAAATATGGGGTGAAAAACGCTTAAATGAGTCGCAATGCGTTTTACTGCGTCAATCAAATATAGCATTTACTCTTTTTACTCGGTGTCACGCACGATGATTGATACGTAATGAGAATTTCTAATCGCGTGCAAAATCCATCGTAGAAAAAGAGAGGAGAAAAGTCGATGAACTGGAGTCTCCATTGTCCTTGGTGCTGTTGTCCTAAAAGCCATTTCTGTTCCTTAGTTTTGTCTGAATGATCTGCTCGGTGACGAGCTTGGCGACGATCTTGGTGACGACTTGGATGTAGATCTTTTGGGCGATCTTGGTGTTGGGTCGTTTTTATCGGAGCCTGGGAGATAGGGGTTCTCTGACGAAGCGACAGGAGTTACCATCACTGTGTGCGTAAATTCTGCAGTCGTCCACACTACCCCCGGAGGAGGCCTATTCTTGAAACTGAGAGGGATGAGCAGAAATTTATAATTATTAAATTAAATTAAATGAATAATGAACAATTGACAATTTCAATTGAGACTAAAATGGACCAGAGCTAATTTCAACCGAACACCATGATCTGACCTCAAAATTACCATAATGTCCGTACTCGTAATTCCCTAGTGGGTAAGCCAACAGCCGGTAAAAGGGATTGTACGTATTAAGACATTGGCCGTGAGACCCTTAAGAATATATGCATAGGGCTTACGTCATAATGCACATAGTTCCGTTTGGTAAAAATGCGTCCAATTATTATCCACCAGGAAGGGTCCACTGGAGGCTTCGTGGCTATAGATACGGCCAGACGGACAAAATAATTGCCCTAAAGACCCATAATTTGATGATTTCCATTGTGAAACGACACTAAGTACTTTTGCGAAAATGCCAACTTTTAGATGTGATTGCGCACTTTACACAGTTGAAAACTCGAAGAGTGAAATTTTGTGCTGGAATCCATATTGCTAAGCGCCCAAAAACGCCTAGTGATATGAATGCGAAGTAAAAGTAGCATCATTAAAGCATATGACACTCCGCATAGGGAGCAAATCCGCTCCGTAATACTGTAAATCACTCCAAACGAAGAATAGTCACCGCGATCCGTGTTCATATCACTTGGGGGTTTTGGGCGCGAAATAGACGCGGCACAGATTTCACTCCAAAGTTTTTAATTGTGCAAGGCGTCCAAGAGACCTCTAAAAATGTTTTTAATTGTTCAATTCGAAAATATTCTTGATTTGACCGCACCGTAGCATATTTTGAGCGAAGGAGATCTCAACTTCACTATGGCTTATAAACCAAACTATATACATATTGGCAGTCGGCAATCACATAACTCGGTTTGCGACGTCGCAGACTTCCTGTCATACTTCATTTTTTAAACGGAAAACTACTCAACGGCAATTCTTCAAAACCGCCGTGATTTTTCATCTCTGTGCGAAGAAAATTCTGCACTAACTTCAAAGAATGATGTCAATTTGATCTCTTTTAAAATAATTTACATAGAGGCGGAGCTTTTCAGACACCGCAAACGAGATATGTGATTGCGGATTTACGCCGTCGATATGTCGCCTTCAACATCGCAGAAATACTTCAAACGCTACACCGTTTGACACTAACGTTTCGATGTGCATATTGCCTATACTGCGCCTCCTAGAGTATACACCTAATTTTGAGGTTTACACTCTCCAATTGCAATCCATGGCTTACGCCGTCGATATCCTTTTCTCCGTGTTATCTCAACTTTCAAAAGTAAGAACCACCGTACTGCCATGCTAAGGAAGAACGCCGTATGAGCCTTCAGACGTTGCCAAATTTCATTCGATAAAAACCGAATTTACCGAGAAAATTGTGCAGATTTTTTCCCAAAAATTCCAGAGTATTTTGTACGCAATTTAATCTAAAATATCTGAAGAATTCAAAGAAAAATGTGCGTAAATGTCGTCAAAAATTCATATTTAATCAAGGGAAATTTGGCAACGCTCGAATGTTCATACGGCGTTCTTCCTTAGCGCGGCGTGTATGTTTTCGGAAGATGGAATCCCGACTCCGACCGTTTCAGCGCAGGCAGCCAGCGGCACTGGCATCACCATTATTTGGGTGTGAATAGTTGATGGTCCCATCAATCGAGCGATGATCGTGTGTTTGGCTGTGACCATGCATCTCATTTTACCTCGGAAGTTGCGGCAACTGGGACTCTGGGTCCTCTGGGACAGGAGGCAATAGAGTGGGAGATCGCCCGCGGGAAGACGGTCCATGTAGTTGAATGCGCCGATGCATTTCATCTCTATATCCTGGTCGATGACATCCGGGTTTTCGTATTCGAGGCAAGGATCATAGGTGTTGAACATCTTGACGTAACGCCGCAGAATGTTGACAGGCGACTCCTGATATCGAGATAATCGTTTCTGATGGTCATTTTGGTCATCATGAAGGGAATAAAAGAGCTACAGTTTGAATTTCGAGCCAAGTGGCACCCCCTAGAGTCCCTATATACTGATAAGTAAGAGAGTGTGAATCCATTTCTGATTGATTACCGTATTTTAGACCTCCACAGTGTCACAAGGACAAATTTATCAGTTGGAGAATTCAGAAATCGATACTTTAGAGTTTTATGAAGAGATTGATGGGCATTTCATGCCACTTTTTTCTCAAGCACATCAAACAGTTTGACCTGGAATTTTGTTTTTTCATGACACCAAGAGTCCTATTTCAAGTTGAAAAGACGAAGTTCCAAGTAGAACTCCTCGGTCTGTTTGAGAAGAAAATTTAATGTGCTACCCATGAACCTCTTCAAGAAAATCTATTTTCTCAGATCTCCGACGTATAAAGTCCTTTTTTCGAGATATTTTCGATGAAAAATGAACCCCGTGTTATTTTCCATGAGGGTCCCAGAAAGTGGGCACCAGGCAAATCAGTCTATCAGAGACGACTCATAAAAGTAGGAGAAATTGGCCCGCAATTCAAATTGCGGCTCCTATTTTCTCTTTGTTCTTAACATAGTAAAATAGCTTCTTTACGCACTAGAGGGCTGACAAAGTCACTTGTTGAAGCTCTTTTGGCCAGCATTCCTGATACTCATGTGCGGCGACTGGCGATGCCAAATGCTCGAATGAAGTGAAATAACTATGAAAATAGAGCTTTGCGAAGGATTACAATAATTTGCAACTGCAAAAAGTACAAAATAGAGGGAAAACATTATAATCTTGAAAAATCTTATATCTGAATACAAAACTCGGAAATAATTTTCGTTTGTACTTTGTATGTTACGAAGCGGCAGATCGTTATAACCCTTTGTGAGGATCCATTTCTAAACTTATACCAATCAATTTTACTCGAAATTCGGAAAAATGGTCTATTTTATAGTGATATTTTGGTGCCGTCTTTAAACAACCAACAACCCTTACAAAGTAAACCATTAATAAGACCTCCTTAAGGAGAGGAACTGTTTATGAATACGACTCTCAGAAAATAGAAGCAACAGTGGCGTGGCGTGATTCGATATATATCGATATTTCCCCATTTGAAGCTATAGTAAAGACCCGATTATTAAGGAGTTCGTTCCGAACACCCCGTTTATCGATCCTTTTCTATAGGTTTAAATGGCATAACAATCGATATATCGCAATTCACGCCACGCCACTAAGAGGCGATATATTTCAGAGGCCCCATCCTAACAATTTGAGCTATGTGATTACGAGATGCAAAGCACAGTTTAGAAGCCAACGTTAGTTTTCGCTGAATTATGATTGGAAAGCAGCTCCTTGAATAAAATTCGCAAATTTATGATTGATAAACGTCGCGAAGCCATATTTACAACTTGAAATCAATATAGTATATGACACAGAGGTATATCCAGGAATTTTTCAAGAAATTGCATCAACTACTTTTTCAATGCAAACATGAAGTCAGAAAGTCTGCTACGTCATCAAACGCAGGTACGTGGCTCTGCACGTTGGTCATCTATACTCAAATTATTAGTTAAATTTAAAAGCTTAGAAACTTGAGGCATTTATGTGCAAATGAGTTGAAGAAGACACGCAATGGAGATGTTGCATGTGTGAAGAATTTGCGATTTGACTGTTGATCTTCATGCAAAATTTCGCAATGGAGTTCCAAAATGGAGGGGATATCCCCTCAACCTGAGAGGACCTGTGCCTCAACTTGAGAGCTTTTTTTCAGCTTGGGAGTTGATTTCAGAGAAAACCAGTGGCACCATCGTGTTTCTCGTGAACTTTTACATAACAATCAACAGTCAAATCGCAAATTCCTAACACATGCAACATCTCCATTGTGAGAGAAATGTATCAAAGGCGTACTCAATACTCAAATTTTAAGTTCAATTTAAAAACTTAGAAACTTGAGGCATTTATGTGCAAATAATTTGAAGAAGACACGTAATTTTGAGAGAAATGCATCGAATAAAGAAGTTACTTACAAATTTGGGGCCAGCTAAGCAGGCAGAGAGAACTGACACGAGTATTAGTCGGAACATCATTGCAGAACCCGTCGCGGGACTGCAACTAAGTGATCGTTTAAATAGTTCATCAGACTCCTCGATGGACAATTTTTTTAATCTTTTTCGATTTAACTTTTTGTATCCGCGGCGCGCGGGAGGTTGACAACCATGACGGGGGAAAGTGACGTTTTCCCCGGAAAAGTTGACGCGATGTGGCGGAAAAATAATGAGAATTGTCAAATGAGTCCGCGGGAGGCATCAGCATCATTAAGCATTTTGACATCTGAGTTTTTGACATTGGTGTGACTCATCAGAGCTGATTAAAAATCTGCGCCCGGGTTGTTTTTGCCCGGACTCTGGTGAGGATTCAATCGTCGTTAAATGGTTGCTAATAACGAGAGGACTATAGCACTGCCGTGCTAAGGATAAACGTCGTATGAACATTCGAGAGTTGCCAAATTGTCTTCAATAAAATGTTTATTTTTTTGGGAAAGTCATGAATATTATTCCTTGCGATGTTCAGACACTCTAGATCAAATTACAAACAAAATTATCTGAGAAATTGGAGAAAAAAATACTCACAAATTTTCCTGAAAATCAGTGATTTGCGAAAGGAAATTTAGCGACGCCTGTAGGGTCATACGACGTTTTCCCTTATCACGCGGCAGTGTAGCAGAACTCCACGGGGGCCTCGTGAGGTTGAAAGTAGGGGGCAGAATCTTAAAAGCCAGATGAGTTTGCTCATTTCTTTATCTCAGTCCTTTTGCAAAAAAGAGGGAGAAATTTTCCGTTTTGCTCTTCTTTCTCTTCTCCTCTTTTGCCTCCTCACTGTTCTCCTTTTCTTTATATCCTTCTCCTTCTCCTCTTTCCTCATCTCACTAGGCGCTCAGCCGACAGGGAGTGCTTTTTGATTTCAACCTGCCTCTACAATACTATTCTAGTATAAAAGTAGCAATGGGTTCAAATGGCACGGCGCACCAGCTCAGCAACAAGATGACGGTGAGGGGCCTAACATACTCAGAGTCGACTAATCTGGGATACCTTTATTTAATGATTCTGATGTCAAAGCACGGAGGACAGTAATCGTTTTTCTATTCTAAACATCCTTCCTATTCTAATAGAAGCATTTTTAAGACGCTTGATGGGCAGGGTGAGGAATGGGAGTAAGAAGAGTAAAAAGCTTTCTTTATTTATTTTTATTTTTAAGAGGTTTATAGTCACTTTCCGGCCAAAGTATCACAAGCGCCATGCGACGGAAAAATTTCCGCCGTCCAACAGTTTCTCCACGTTCAATTACTCAATTTCTCTGGAGAACAATAAAATTATTGGCCTACGGAGAAATTGTTCAGCGAAGCTGTCCGAAACTTTCACTAAATTTTCTGTGCTGCCGATGAAATTCGGTGACATTTTCCAACAGATTCAACCAATCAACCAACAATTCCTCTGTAAAAAATGAAATGGCGGCGGAACTTTTGAAACTTCGCATGGCGCACGAGATACTTAGGAAAGACGATACAGTGTAGTTTTCTTAAAATTGATAGTTGAAATTTTGGTGAAGCGATAGAGTTCTTTCACTCAACGTTGCTCATCTTTGGAGAACTTTCTTCGGGGGAAAACGCGCCTACATGGAAGATAGCTGAGTGCTTCTATAATACGAGCGTATTAGATCTTTCCCGCTTGTTCTTATTTCGCTTAAAGTAAAGTCCGATATCGTATTCATGAAAAGGCTACGAAACGTACAAAAAGACTATTCATAGCCTCTGAGAGGCATACTGCCGTGCTACGGAAGAACGCCGTATGAACCTTCAGGCGTTGCCAAATTTCCCTCGGTAAAACACTAATTTCCGGAAAAGTGTGTGAAGATTTTTCCTCCAAATTTTCACATAATTTTGTTCGCAATTTCACCTAAAGTTTCTGAAAATTTCAAGGAAAAATATTCATGGTTCTCCTCAAAAATAAACTTTTTATCGAGGGAAATTTGGCAACTCTCGAATGTTCATACGGCGTTTTTCCTTATCACGGCAGCATGCCTCCGAACTCGAGTGAGTTAAGAGGCAGAATAGGTAGCTCGTGTCGGTTGCTCGGAGAACACTCTCAAGTTTCAACAGGTAACTCACGTTTGCCAAATCGTGCCGGAATCCGCCTTTTCCCCGTGCAATTCAATGCAATTTTATGGCACGACTTGGCAGCCTTGAGGTTAGTGCGGCTATGAATCCAAGCCGGAAAGTCGGGAAAGTTCATTCGGGGCTAATTAATGTGAGTAATCAGACGGGATAATACTCCTCTCCCGGCAGCCGGCGCGGGAAGGAAGTTGTGTGCTTTGAGGAAGGGGGGCTTTGAATGATCGCACAGATAAAACAACGGGAACCACGCCCCACCTACACATGAATGAATCTTAACGAGAAATGTTGAGGTATTGGTTGAAGATAAATCGAATTGGAAAATTCTCTTACTTTAAAATTATGTAAAAAAAAAAATAAAATAAAAAGCTCAACTACAGCAAGAAAAGATGTTCTTGATTAATAGGTAGGATATAAGTCCATCCGCAATTTTTTAAATCATTTGTTTCCTCTTCTCTTGCATTGCTTAAAAAAAAAATCCCTTTCCACAACCGGCCGTGCCGGAAGAACGCCATGTGAGCGTGAACCTTCATACGTCGCCAAGTTTCATCTGATAAAAGACGAATTTTCCGGGAAATTTGAAAACATATTTTTTGAAGGGTTAATTTTGCAAGTGCCGAATGTTCATACGGCGCTCTTCCTTAGCACGACAGAATAGTCATGGCAATTATTTTTTTCCTGCAATAGAATTTGCCATTTGGAGAAAAGAACTTACTTCAACAATTTGCAAGTCTTCGGCATGATTCCATGGGGTATCGGTTGATACGAGCTACTAGATATTTTTTAAGGGACAAAAAGAAAAAAAGTTAGAATCAGAGGATTTATAAAAGCTTATCGAATATTTTTTCATGTGTGAAATGTCGAAAAATCACTGTAAAATCTCTGACGTAGAAAGATATGAAAATCATATTTCTCGTTTTACGGTGATTCAGGGATGTTTCAAGCTAACTCATTGGTTTCTACTGAGTGAATATGGACGATTTCCTCGCACATACCAGAAAAAGAGGTTGGATCCACTTCAAAAATGAATAGAGACACTTCAAAAATTTTAAACTCAAAAACAATTTTTTGACTCCTCCCATCATTCCTGAAAATGCACCCGCAGCCACTTCTTCTAGTCGGATCATTCCTCAACAATGCAAAAATGGTGGCACATTTCCCGAGTGAAAAATTCCTTTTCCCGGTCAAGCTCTGGTCGAATGAAACTGACAAAGCGGAGTAGCGCAGATTAACATTATTCAAACCGCGGATCAAAGGCCTTTAAATTAAATCAAAAGGATAGGTATTCCATCCCCTACAATATTTAATACCAAAGAAGGGAAAGTGGAGGAAATATTTCGGGAAAAAAAGAGAACCCGAGGGATTAAAGGAGCAATAAATCAATTTGCCGAACGCAATAACGCCAGCAAAGATCCTGGATGGGCGGCAAGGACACCGCGCCTCGGGCGGGAAAAGAAAAACGAAAAGGGACGGGAAAAAAGAATAATATAGAAGAAAGAATTAATAAAGGATCGTAGCTTGCAAGGGATGGGAGGGGCGGGGGACGGTAGGGCGAGCTTAGTCCAGATTTACCGTCGGATTCTGTTTATTTGCCACTTGTTATTTTCATAAGCCTTTTGATCAATTATTTTGAATGGGAAAGTTACAAAAAACTTTGGGGCTCGAGGCGGGGGGGAGGGGTGGCTGGAAAGTGTTTATTTTGCAAATATCCTGAACAAAAATCCCAGCTGTTGACTCATCGAGAGGGGAATGTAGTGGTATGATTCGGTTCGTAATTTTTCTCCCTTTCCTTTTTTTTTCATTTTTTGTTTATTCTCCCATTCCCTTTCGATCCTTCCTAACTCGGGTGCAATATTCTGCCATGCTGTAAGGGAAATCGCCGTAAGAGCATTCGAATTTTGCCTAATTGCCTCTCGGAAAATAACTATTATTGAAACAACTTATCAATATTTTTCGTCGAAGTTTTCACACTCTTTAGACCAAATTTATAGAATTTTTTTAAAAATTGGAAGAAGATTATTTATAAATTTTTCCCAAAAATTCTTGATTTCTCTTAGGAAATTTAGCGGCGTTCTTCCTTGGCACAGCAGAGTCGTTGTACAACGATGTTGTCGATGTATCTCCAACGCAGAGTGGAGCAGCATACTGCCAGCGCAAGACGCGCACTGGCGCCTACAAACCTAAGGGGATACTTCGCGCATTGCGCAATGCTTGCAAAGTCCCTTTAGGTTTGTAGACGCCATTGCGCATTTCGTTCGTGCTGGCCGCAGCGAGCCGCGGCGCCTCAAGCAACTATTTCACATCAGAGGTGTTGCACAGTATCATACGAAATTGAAGGCGCTCCAACATATTGATGATGACATGCATCCTTTAAGAGTACGGAGCTTCCTTCGCAACATAAATCAAGATACAACGGCAGATAAAGAGAAAGGTAGTCCAAAAACTCACTAAGTCCTGGCATCCCTCTTCATTAACATTTAGCATAAAGTTTAAATTTTATTAGAGAAAAAAAAACGTGGTTTGGGAAACCAAAAATTTGGTCTGCTGAACCGCAATTCGGTTATGCAAACTTAGGCATTCGGAAAATAATTACCGAACTATTTCGCATGTGATTACCGAGTTGTTGTTACAAAATTTGGAGAGGATATCAGACTTCATTCATCGTGATTTTTGAACCATTCCTTTTTATCATTTTTTTTATTCCCCCATCCTTCTTTCGATTCTCCACAACTAGGGTGCACTATTGCCGTCTTCAAACAAAACTGTCGGTGTATAATACTGTTAAATCCTCCAATCTATGAAAACTAATAATTCTGAGTTGTTCAGCTTAGTAAAAATCAGTTCGCCTCTCGCTTCGAGCTTATGCACCAGGCTCAACCGCAGAACACGAATAGTTGTATTCAGGCGCAGCCATGAATTTTGATGACC